TTTCAGTAATTCCTCTCAGTTACATTACCCTTGATCACACCCTACCAGGCCTCCTACACCCTCCTTACCACTGATTTGGATCACTTGTTGTTCCCTTTCCTCTAGGTTTGTTAACACCACTTCCTTTCCCCCTTCCTCCCCCTCTCCCATGTCCCCCCAGAGCTGTTGGTCCCATTGCTTTCTCCTTCAGATCGTTCATCCAGCCTGTCTTATTTAGACAGACCTAAGGAGATAATAACATGTACAAAAACAAGACAGCAAAACAAAGCAACAAAAGAAAACAAAACAACAACAACAAAATGCCAATGACCAAAAAACCCCCAACAACAACAAAAAAATAAAAGCCTGTAGTTAGTTCAAGGACTGTTTGTTGGCCTTTAGGAGTATATTACGGTTGAGTCTGATGGGGTGCCAAACCCTGGTCCCAAAGTCTATTTTTGGTATTCCCTCGGGACTTCCTTGCTCTGTTCCCCTTACTGTTCTGTTGCACATCCTTATTGTTTTGCCTCAGTGTGGGGGGATCAGATTGGGCACCCTTTCCACACTGTGTCTCCAGTGTTGTCCCCTGTAGGGATATGGGTCAGTGAGGCATGTCATGTCTCATAGTGGGGCCGGCCATATGGTCTCTTCTGCAGATTGGCTTCTCTGAGTGGGGATATTGTCCTTAAGGCTTGGTGGGCCAGGATATGCTCCACTCTCTCTTCCTCCCCCTCCATTTGCACCCATGTGCTCTGATCAGACATGCCCCTCTCCCGGACCTGCAGATTCAGTGCTGTCCTCTGAAATAAATTCTTCTGGGTGGAGGGCCAGGTGCCCACATAGTTGGGATTGGGGCCGGCCCCTCAGACCTCTCTGCTGGTTCCCTACACATCTTTCTTCTACAAGAATTCAAAGGAAAGAGCTGAACAGATTGGGCACCATCAGGAAACAACAGTGGGGAAAATAGAATCCAAAGAAATGGAGTTCCTTAACCTGGGAAATTTTAGGCTCGTAGAACATGGATGCCAAGATATATGGAGATCTCCAAGGAATGCAGGTATTCCAGATGCTGAAAAGAAACCAGTCCCTCCCCCTCCACCATCCAACTGAACCCCCCTTTTTTAATAACTGTGGCTACATTTCATTTTCCTGTAACCTACAGTATAAGAAAATAAAGGTCTTTGTAAAGCCAAAAAAAGAAAAAGAAGAAAAAAAGAAGAGAAGTAATCAAAAGACATATTGCACGCGTATGGGAAAATCTGTGCAAGACTTCTTTGAAGTAAAAAGATGTCACTTTGAGGAACAAGGGGCACTTAACCCAAGGCAGGGTATTTTCAATTGATATGTGCATATGAAAGGTGGACCATGAAGGAGGAAGACCCAAGAAGAATTGATGAACTTGGATATGGTTCTTTGGAATAATATGGAAAGGATATTGTGGCCTGCCAAAAGAATGAACAAATCTGTCTTGGAGGAAATAGAGCCAGAATGCCCTTTATTGTAAGGATGGTAAGACTGCGTTTCATATACTTTGGATATATGATAATGTAGTATCAATGCCTTGCAAAAGGCATCATGCCTTATAAAAGAGAGGATCAGCAAAAGAGAGGAGGAACTTTAATGAGCTAGCTTGACACAGCAGCTGCCATGATGAACTCAAATACAGCAACCATTGTGAGCCTGCCACAGTATTAAGAAGTGTTTCTTTCTTTGCGTATAGAGTCTCAACGAGTTGGAACCTATTGGATGGCACCTAACAACATAATAAAAAAGCGATTTTATTCTTAACACCTCATAATATATAACCTAACTGGGCAGTTCTTTTCTTTAATGTAGGGTGGAAGCATTTCAAAAATGAAATCAATCTTTTTTCACCCAGGGTTTTTTTCTAGAGCACGCTGACATATATTTTACACTGGAAGTAGCATGTGCTTGAAAAATTTGTATGCATGGAAGGAAATGTGGCAGCCAAGGGTTAACAAAATCCAGGTGATGCTCTGCCACATGCTTTCTGGGAATTAAATATGCTAGGAAAACGAGGAGAGAAGCAGAAAGAACAAATCAAACAGAGGTTGTCAGATATGGTCTTCTTCCTTAGGGAGGTTTCAGAGATCATAATAGCTATGCCAAGAATGATGTTTCAGATGGGCATCTACATTAGAGCATCTAAATTCAGTACTTCGATGCAAATCATTAGCAGAGAATAGAAGCGCTGGAGTTAGTTATGGAATAGCTAGTGCTCACACAGTGGACATAGGAACAATTCATTAAGGCAGTCTTTCAGAAATGGGACTTTTACATAGGACCAGAGAGTTAGTCTTGTTTAGCTCACATATTTTGAGAACTGTCTGGGTTGAGTATTTTCTTGAGCTTCCTGAGGCTCAGAGATCCTAGTTAGAAGAGGTGGGTGCCTGGCCCACGTACATGCGACATGCTTGGAGAGGGTATGATCTAATTCAGAAGGATCTCCCCTTCTTTGGCACTAAATGCACTTGGGGTCCCAGCTGCTAAAGTAAAAGCGGTGTCTCAAGCACCATTTACTAGGGAAAAGAAAGCATTCCCTGCTTCCTAAGACCATAGTAGGATTGTTTATAGGACTGTGTGGGGCAGCCTACACATAATTTCATGTTCATTATGCATAGCTGGAGTGGGCTGGGGTTTGACAAAGACTGACTGTAGGGAATTGGAGTGCCTAAGTAAAATGGGCACAATCATATAATTAAAACCCAAAACACCAAACCTACTGCCACTGAGGTGATTCCTATTCATATCGACCATATAAGATAGTCAAACTCCTCCATAGGCTTTCTAAGGCTGTCAGTCTTTATGGGAATAGACAGTTCCATCTCTCTCCAACGCAGCTGGTAGGCATGAACCACTGACTTTTCACTTAGCTGCCCAATGCTTAACCCGCTGAGCCATCAGGGGTTTTCTATGTAATAACGGGTCAGAGTTCATCTGCAGGCTGGAAAGGACCCTCAAAATAAAATAAAAATACGAGTGACAAATACATGGATCTTTGTTATTGGTAAAAAATCTGGGTCACTAGAAGTTGTATTTTTCCATTTGAGCGTCTGTCTGTGGGCTTTTGAGAGTATACTTGTCTAATGCATGTTTGATCATTTGGGAGTCTAATAATAGCTTTCATGCCAGAATACAATTATTATATAACAGAATTCAGTATGTTGGAGAAAAAAGTCAAAGCAATGCAGTTCTATGCTTTTTTGCACGTCCTTTGTTTGCAGGAAGTCAGGCATAAACTAGCAGTTGTCATTTGACTCTTCTCGTGATTTCCTAGCAGACTGTGCCTTGGGCATGACACATCAGAGTCTGGTGTTTATCTTTTATTACCTGCCAGACCCCTCTGGATAGAGCCTCTATGGAATTCATCATGCACAGTCTTTGTTGAAGGTATGCATATAAATACACGTTGGGTGCATTTGTTGGTGGGGTACTGTGGTTTCTGAAGCTGACTTAAATAAGAATTGCTGAGATGAATGATGAAGGGGACCTTCTGCAGGAGGTATGGAGTTAATAATTAAAATGTTATTTACCAAAATCCTGACAGCAAAGTCTTTTGTTATTATGCCACTTCTTGGGAGCCAGTGGTGCCAGTATGACTAAAGGCAGCATGATGATTCTTTTCGCATGCATGTTTGTGAAGCAGCTCCCTTCCGTATTACACATTGAGTTTGCAAATATTCATATAACAAAAACGAAGCAATTCAGAAGTGCTCACTTAAGACAGCTCACTTAGCTTGAATAATCATTTGAAATAACTTCATTAAGCATTATGTTTCAGAAGTATAGCTATGCTCCCCAAACTTATGCCTGTTTTAGTTTTTATTGAGAGCATATATCATTTTTTTCCCCATAGCTTTCTCTTATTTTACTAAAAATGCCTTGCATTTAAAGGACAAAGGTGAGACCTATTTTCAAATTATATTTAAAATAGTGTTTTAAGTAGGGATAGTCTCTCATCTGCTTCAGAATAGGTTAAAATTGACACATTTCTTAGTAGTGCTTAATGCATATGCACCTGACTTCTTGTATTTCTGACTGCTCATTCTGAATGATGGAAGTATAGATTGGGTTGCTTTACTGGTGTCAAATTTGAGAGAATGTGGGTTTTCATAAATTAAGAAAATATTACCTTCAAAGTGCACCTTTTACTAGGGGGGCTTCGAAAATTTCAAGGTAAAGTTCCATTATCCATTAAATCAATTGTTTTCATGAACTGTTTGAAACCAAAATGAAAACAAGCTCAATGCCACCGAGTCAATTCTGACCCATACTGACTATGCGGGAGAGAGCAGATCTGCCCCAGATGCTTTCCAAGCGTTGACTGTGTGGTTTGCAGCCTAATATATAGCCCACAATGCTTCCAGGGGTCCTCGATGACCATTTTGAAGGCCTCTCATTTGCAAGGTATGATGGTAGATCAGTGCGTTGTGCGTGATGGAGTGACATGTCGAGAAAGACTTAGTGTCCACTTCTCCTCCATCTAAGATAGCTATAATCTCAGGAAAAAGGAGCTTCCTGCACGTATAGAGCACTGTGTGTTCCAATGGAGAGAAGAAGAAGACATCCAAGCCAGGAAACTAGGGAAGGCTATGTAATAAAAGGGGCTAACTCAGGAGAAGTTATGGTCTACTCAGAACTTTGTCCTGTCATTATCAGAGGATCAAAAAAATCCATGTGCTTACCTAAGAGAGTTTATCTGAAAGTAAATTTATACCTGCAAATGATATTGTAGAGAAAGAAAGTAAAGGTAATTGTATGTACATTCTTTGGTTTCTGAGATTTGGATTTCTCTCTAACTACTCTTAGTTTCACGACTTCCAAGCCAGTGTCAGACTGTCTCTTCTCACCTCCTGCAATTTCTGTCAAAGATTCCACATGATTCAGCTTAATTGTTAAGACATACACCTTCTCCAAGACTAACTCATTGCTATTGAGTCCATTCTGACTTACAGGTACCTTTATAACACCGAGTAGAACTGCCCTGTGGGCTTCCCAAGGCTGTATACTCTTTATGGGAACAGGCCAACTTTTCAGTTAAGAGCTGTGATAGTTAAGGTTTTTTTTGTGCCAACCTGGCCGGTAAACACATGTGGGATTAATTGAAGGGTGGAGAGATAAATGGCTCGGTGAGTCTTGCCTTTCTTGTTCTCTGATGGTTACACAGAGTGTGGCTGCCTTAGCTAGCTCCTTGCTTCAGCTGGCAAGGCTCACTTCCTGCAAGACATCCCTGAGGAGAAACCACATGGACCTTGTATTAGTCTAGGTACTTTGGAGAAACAAATCCACAGCAACTCACGTATAAGAGAGAGTTTTATGCAAAGAAAATGTGCATCACGAAAACATCCCAACCCAATGCTGCCCAAGCCCACAAGTCCAACATTAACCCATACCCAACACCAGTCCACAAAGTCCTTCACCTCACAAAACAGAGGCAATAATGCCGACTGCAGGAGGAAAGCTGAGTCAGTGAACGTGTAAGCATCTCAGCACTGGCAGGGGTCTCCACACAGCTGCTCCAGCACCCAGGGCTGCATCGGGATAGATCCATGCGGCTTCTCCTTGGGGATGTCTTGTAGGAAGTCAATCTTGCAAGCTGAAGCACGGAACTGCTAAGGCAGCTGCACCCGATGCAACCATCACAAAACAAGAGACCCGAGAACTAGAAAGGCAAGGCTTCACCACCCATTTATCCCTCCGCCTTTCAACCAGCACCACATGTGATTATCGGCCAGGCTGGCACAATTAACTAACTCAGACCTACCCTGATGCAGCCCTGGGTGCTGGAGCAGCTGCATGGAGACCCCTGCCAGCACTGAGATGCTTACATGTTCACTGATATGGCTTTCCTCCTGCATTCGCGTTATTGTGTGTGCTTTACAAGTCTGAGGAGGACTTTGTAGATTGGTGTTGGACATATGGGCTTGGACTGGACTGGGTTGGGATGCTTTCTTAATGTATACTTATCTTTTATATAAAATTCTCTTATATACCTAAGAGTTTCTGGGGATTTGTTTCTCTAGTCTACTCAGACTAACACAAGAGCCAAGGGCTTAACCACAATGCCACCAGGGCTCTTTTCTCTAAGAACAGTACAGTCCAAATGTTGATAGTTTCCTTTTAATAGAGTGGAAAATTGGACAATATGATTTTTTTCAAAGTCTTGGTATAAGCTCCTGCTTTCCCCCTCCCCCTCCCCTTCCCCCCCTCATGAACCCTTGATAATTTATAAATTATTATTTTATTATTTTTTCATATCTTACACCAACAGCTGTATCCTTTCACCCACATTTCTGTAGTTTGGCCCCCGTGGGGGAGGGAGCAATTATATATCAATCATTGTGATTGGTTCATACTTTCTCTACCTCACCTTCCCCCTACCCTCATGGTATCATTACTCCCATTATTGTTCCTGAGGAGTTTATCTGTCCTGGATTCTGTGTGTCTAGAGCTCTTATCTGTACCAGTATACATGCTCTGGTCTAGCTGGATTTGTAAGGTAGAAGTGGGGTCATGATGGTGGGAGGATGCATTAAAGAACTTGAGAAAAGTTGTGTGTTTCATCGGTGCTATACTGCTCCCTGGGTGGCTCAACCCTTTCTTGTGACCCTTCTGTGAGGGCATATCCAATTGTCTACAGATGGGCTTTGTGTCTCCACTCTACCTCCCCTCGTTCACATCAATTTGATTGTTTGTTCTGGTTATTCTGATACCTGATATTTGATCCCACTGATACCTCATGATCACACAGGCTGGTGTGCTTCTTCCAGGTGGGCTTTGTTGCTTCTGAACTAGATGGTCGCTTGTTTACCTTCAAGCCTTTAATACCCCAGACACTATATCTTTTTATGGTTGGGCACCATCAGCTTTCTTCACTACATTTGCTTATGCACCCGCTTTGTCTTCAGCGATTTTGCTGGGAAGGTGAGCATGAGGGAATGCCAGGTTATTAGAACAAAATGTTCTTGCATTGAGGGAGTACTTGAGTAAAGGCCCAATGTCTGTCTGCTCCCTTGATATTTAATATATAATACATGTACATAGATCTATGTCCCCATCATTATATATAAATATATTTACATATTTACATGCCCATACTTATACCTCTATAAATGTTCATTGCCAAAATGATTTTTAAAGTACATTATCTTTGGGGGGGGGGAAGAATCTTCATAAATTGGATAACTCATTATATTTAATAAATATAATACAGGGAAGTCTTGTGCTCGGCCAACCCTCCACTGATGAACCTTCTCTGTGCCTTTTCATGAGATTGTATTCTGAGAAAAAGAAATAATATGGGAAGGAGTAAGACAGTGTGTAACATCCCTTTAAAATCAACTCATGACTGGAAAGGGACAGTGAATGTGTCTGAGGCCAGATGCTTTGGAAATGGGGCCACGAGCAGCAGCAGCATGAGGCTAACCTTAGAAACAAGACAGAGTAACACAGGCTCGGCCATACAAAGGGCAGATTATGTGTATGAAGAAAATCTCTCAGGATGATCACTTTTTCTACCCACACAAATTCTTTGGCAGCATCTTTAGTGAAAATGAACAGTTATTAATCTTAGATCCAGTACTTTCCCCAAAGAATATTTTATTGATTCCCTGTTCAAAACAATGTTGTAAAGTCATGCATTCAGCCAAATTCTTAGCAGTAGTGAGCAGAAAAGAGATTAAAAATGTAACGATATTCTCTAGAGTAGACCCTATGGGTATATGAAGTTGTGAACTGAGGAAATGGAAAGCATCATCATCATTAAAATCTATTTATCAAGAACCTTGCATACTGAGCTGAGTGTTATGCCAAGTAGGGCAGGTAAGATCTGTTCTCTGCTTATTACTTAGGGAAAACGCTAATCCAGATAGATAACAAGAGCTTAGGTTTCCACCACACAGAAGGAATGGATGCTATTTGCAGCAAGACTATTAGTTTGTACCTGTCGTGGGTGACTAAGTAAAGTCCTGAGGGTGAAGACAGCTGACCTTCTAGAGCCAGCTTCAAGAGAATGGAGATGCAGATACTGTTGCTTCCCAGTTGTCTGCCAGTTTCTAGGAAATAAAGTTTTCTTTATTCTATTTTTATACTTTCTATGTGTTTTTAGCTCTTAAGATTAAGAAGTTTTGTTTTTTAGATTTCTAGGTTTATAACTTATACATTTACTTTTATTTACACCAAATCTATCTTTTATGAAGAATCTCTAAGAAATCATGATGGAATGTTTATATTCTCATCTTGGCTCCACTACTTATTTTTTTAATTAATTGGGATTAATACATCTATTGAATCATTCCCTAGTTCAGTCATGGCTACATTTGCTACCACATTCAGTTTCCAAACATTCTTTTCCTATACGGACCCCTTGTCATCATCTCCCCTTCACCCTG